TGCAAGGCTACATTAAATGATCATTTATAATATTACAACTTGCATCACGGGAATAAATTACATTTAAAAATACATTAAAATTGAAAACAGTTATTTTAAATTCTAATAATATTTCACTTCTTGTCCATGCTATTTTGAAAAAAATAAACATGCCTGGAGGGAGATGAGTAATTACTTGTATAATGAGATTTGGCAGGTGGGGTTCATTTTCCTACAACAAAACTCAGACCAGCACACAATATGCGGGAGAATAAACAAACAGGTCTTTTGCATGTATTTACATATGTTTGCTGGCGCTCCTACAAGCAGTCAGTGCTGATATCATCGTTTACACAGCACAGTAAAGTGCTTTATGTGAAGGATTTATGTACAAACATGCATTCAGATTCACTACAGCACATAAAACCTGCAAATGAATAGGAAATCTGGGCAGTGTTTAAGCTTGTCTTCCTGCCAAGGTGAACCATTTCACCTGGAACCATCTCAAAATGTTCTTGCTCTATTTGGACATCCTGACAGCCTGCAGAAAACAGGCTGTTTTCCAGTTTGAGAGGAGCTGCTCTGTTGAACCATTACTCTGTTATTCCACTTCACTAAATGTCCTTGAGCGAGATCTCTTTAGCTTTAGTTCCCATGTTGGCATGGTAAACACATTCTTTACTGTGCTCTCAGTGATAGATGGAGGGTTTCCTCGGGTGACCAGGGAAGCCTCTCTCCCCCCCAGTGCATTTTGAGCCAGCTCTCCCAGGAAGAGCGCTTCATCCCCGGGCACACTATGACCACAAATCAGCCCCTTCCAAATCTAGAGAACCCGTCCAGCCAACAAACACAAGCCACAAAGTGTATTCAAAATCTGGCGAGAGACCCTTTGTCATTCATTTTGATTAAACAATAATAAATTTTCATCAGATTCAGCCATGAAAGTACCGAAGGTTATAAAACACATTTAAGTTAGAATTAAGTATCAGCTACTTGACAGGGTGCTGTGCCGTTTTTTTTCCCCGAGCTGCTAGAACATCATTAATAAAATAATTTATGCTAAATTTAAATTATTTATTCAACTTTGTGTGTTTTCAAACCTGTGTCTCTTTTTTTCTTTCGCAGAACACAGAATGTGAACTTTTGAAGAATATCATGGCATTTCTTTTTCATATAAAAGTGACTGAGGACAGGTGTTGACATGCTTCAAAATTACAAAGACTGCACTTTAAAGTAGTCCATATGACTTGTGCATTATATTTGAAGTCTTCTGAAGGCATATGATCACTTTGTGTATAAAATGTAAGTCATTATTCACTGAAAATCCTTTTCTCTAGTAAACCTATAACTCCCGTGACCAGATCAGTGAGTTGAACTTTTGAACAAACGATTCATTGAAAAGATTTGACTAAATGAATGTTGAATGATTTGTTCAGAGACTGGATGTCACTTCTTCTCTCATGCAAAGAAGAACTAGAGTGGATGTCAAGATTTTCAATGAATACATTTCAGTCTGTTCCACATGCAAAGCTATCCTATGGCTTCAGGAGCCAGTGTGTGTTACATGGACCACTTTTATGGTCTTTTTTTGTCATTTTGGAGCTTGACCCCCCAGTCCACATTCACTTATACACATTAACAAAAAGGAACTTTAAAAATTTCAGTTTTTGGGTTTTACATAAAAAAAGTCATAGAGGTTTGGAATGATGTGAGGGTGAATAAATGATGGCAGGATTTTCATTTTTGGATGAACCATTTCTGTAAGCTGGGCATTACTCACTGCAGCATCTCTGCTGGAAAGGTCTGATTTAATTTAGTCTAGAAAGAGGCCCATAAAAGGTATGAACCATCATCTGAGAGCAGCATGAGTTTTATCTGTCACATGAAGGTTGTCCTGTTCTGCTCCAGTGGAGGAAAACAGTTCCTCTCGCCCCTAAGATGCAGTTGAAGAGGGGCTGGGAGCAGTGACGTGTCTGTCAGGGCTGCTCTGTTTCCTGTGTCCCCTCCATGTCCCCCATCCTCCCTTTGCTTGGGTCACCCTTAGAGGCACATTATGGAAACTTAGTGATCCAGAGGTCACCACCATTACTTGAGAAAGTAAAGGGCCGATGTTAATAAGATTGTAGCAATGAGAGTGTGAAGGTTCCCTATGAGCCATTTCATAAAAATCCAAACAGTGACAACAAGAATTCACATGCGTGTTTGAATATAGTCCTTTGATTAATAAATAAATAAATAAACGTTCTATTATTATTATTATTCAATATTTGTATTGAATATATAAAATTTAGATAAATATTTTATTTGTTTGTTATGAGGAATTGTTTAAATGTGTCTGCTGACTAGAGCTTAGTGCTGGGCGGTATGACCAAAAATTTATATCACGGTATTTTTCAAAATTATACCGGTTTCACGGTACATGACGGTATTTTTTTTTTTCATGCATGACCGGGTGTTAACCATATCTTTTACTGATTGAGAGAGGAAATACTGCAGTATATTGACTTAGAATGCCCTATTTTACTGTCATGATGAGTGTATATTGTCAAAAAATACCACACTAAATAGTGACTAAACACGACCCCTTTTAATACATGTTAACCAGGAGTCACTCTCATTTATAATCGCGGCATCGTCTGATAAAATCAACATGCATCTACACTAAAGAGCGGCTATGCAGTTGTTTTGGCTATATTACTTTTTTGTCTCATGCAGCGCACTGTCTGAAAATTCATATCATAACAAAAATAAACACCGGTATTCGGTATGAACCGGTATACCGCCCAGCACTACTAGAGCTGTTCAATTTTTAATTAGCTTTTTTTTTATTTTTGACCATTTTTATTATTATTATTATTATTGTTACTACAGGTGCATCTCAATAAATTAGAATGTCGTGGAAAAGTGAGGCAGTAATTAAAGCAAAAGGAGCCCCTACCAAGTATTGAGTACATGTACAGTAAATTAACATACTTTCCAGAAGGCCAACAATTCACTAAAAATGTTTTTTTTATTGGTCTTATGAAGTATTCTAATTTGTTGAGATAGTGAATTGGTGGGTTTTTGTTAAATTTGAGCCAAAATCATCACAATTAAAAGAACCAAAGACTTAAACTACTTCAGTCTGTGTGCATTGAATTTATTTAATACACAAGTTTCACAATTTGAGTTGAATTACTGAAATAAATGAACTTTTCAACGACATTCAAATTTATTGAGATGCACCTGTATTTTAAGCAAAATATTTTAAGCATAAATATTTAAAAAAAAAAGTTAAGCAAGGAGACAATTCTGTCTTTTTTCAATTCTTTTTTTTTTTAATTCTTTTTTTCAATTCTGTTCTTTCTTTCTTTCTTTCTTTTATTTTATATTCTGACATTTCATACCTAAAAAGGACATCCCAAATATTATTTTTTATGTTTAGGCCCATGTAGTAGTTAATAATAGTAATAATAATAATACAAATTATTATTATTATTATACAAAAACTGTTGCATCCAACATAAACAGATATTTTTGCATTTTTATTTGCGATACATTTAAAATGATGATGATAATAATAATAATACAGATAACACAAGTGATACAGTTACAAAACACACTTATTTCAGCAGGTTAGCTAAGATTACTTAATGTGACAGAGAGGTCTGTTCGGTTGAATTAAACAAATACCTACAGTATGCAGAGGTTCTGGTTAATATTCAAGCATTTGATGTGAAACAGATGCTGTCAGTGCACTGTGGTTTGGGCCACTGCAGAAAGCACTTAAAAACATTAGGATTGATAGACAGGCCGTGTTTGCCAGACATTAAGTTCAGAAGACCACAGGATCCCACCTCCCGATGACTACACAAATTAAAGTTCAGTGGAAAGACAAAGTGGCTCTGAGAGAAGTTTCTATAGTGAGGGAAATGTTCAGGATGTGGGAAAACAAAACAAGTGGAAAACTCGCAGGAAGAGATGGGAGTTATAGACTTTTTCAGAGAGCCACGGTCAGGTCAAAATGACTGTTGCCCACTGTGTAAAACAACAGCTCTAGATCATATGTTTCTGACACACAGCTTATTTGCTCCCAATCCTCCCATGAAAAACTGAGAGATTTCTGGTTGTAAAAACACCCTGGAAAACAGCTGGATCTCATGTGGCTTTTAGCCGATAAGCCTTTTTATTTTTTCATTTTCTGCTCTGATTCATGGGGAAAGCATGCTAATGAAGTGTTAAACTGAGCTAAGAGTACTTCGCCCTTATTGGCAGCTGACAGCATAATCAGATTAGGCAAAAATATTTAATAACTGAACACGCAAAGGGCGGGAATACGATGTTACAGTCCAACTACGGAGAAATCGAAGCAAACCAGAATCTATTACCTGTAAATCTTTGACCATCAGGATGATTGACGTGGTGAAAAAAACCAACACGGGGGCGATGAAATTCCAGATGTGCGTAATGAAATATGACATGGTAAAAATCGGTAAGATCATGCGCTAGTGTGCTGCGTGCAATCACAACGTAAGCTGGAATTTGAGTGAAGGAAAGTGCAGGGCAATGTGAATTTCTCATTTGTTTCCATACAAAGCATTCAAAAGCACAATTGGCTCATGCAAATATGCTGGTAGGCCAAGCTCAATGTGCAGAGACCACAGTAAAACTCTATGGCATGCCTGCGAGGGCCAAGAGCAATGCAAAT